TGTTGAAGGATTGCAAACGTTTAACACATTTAAAACTTTGCACATCTGTTGATGAATTGTTTTTCAAAGATATTGATAAGTATTTCCCGAAACTTGAATTCACTGATTGCTGTCATATAACTGAATACACATTGAATTCATTGTCAAAACTGGCAAAACTGCGAACCGTTAATGTTTTGGGGAAAATGCGATTAACGCACAACTCTTTCAACACTTTTCGACAAAATTATCCTAAAATTAATTTTCTTAATGTCTATTAATTGTATTGAATGAATACTACTGTATATTAAAGATAATACATGTGTAGTAATTGTTAAAAACTCAATACAAATGTTGGTATTAATAGAGTTGACAATTAGTGCCGATCTCTCACCACTTTTCCCACTAATTATTTAGGTATTAAATCAATTCAGATATACGTGTCATCAAATTTTCAACGGGGTTTATAGCGTAAAACACGGGTATAAACGGGAGGCTAGTAGTGGGCTAAGTGGGGGTGAGGTGTGCGTACGTCAGGCGCGATAATACAATGTCGACCTTTTTAACCATAATGTGTTAGCACTGGAAACACATAGAAATGCATTGCATTAAAAGGGACTAAATATACGCCAATTATTCAATGACTGACAGCACTATAATAGGGGCCTATGTTTTGATGGCTATGCGGCCAATCAGTGACTGACACCGCTTTGTTCACATGAAAAACGTGAACAAAACAAACCAAATGCAAACCATTGACTCGCTATGGAGTTCAATGTGTTTGGGGGGCTTTCGGGGGGCGAATACCGGGCGGTTATGTGGCGGGTGTTTATGGTATGGCCCGACATATGGCGGCCCAAAGTCTATATAAAGGCTGCAGTTTTCGCACAAAACGTTTAGATTTGGTTTTGAGAGTAAATTGAAAAGTTGTTTAAGTTTTACTTACCATTCATTTTCAAACACAACACGTGTTCAATCGTTTGGCCATTTGTTTCGCTAAAATCCAAATTAAAGGTAAATTTGATTTACATTTGAAACTGAATTCAGTGTTTAATTGTCTGAGAAATCGCTGTTTTAAACCATAGAAAGAAATATATATAAAAATTGAGTTAATTTTGATTTTGAAGTCATTTTGAAAACTATATATAAATTGTAGAGATTTTAAGCCATTTTGCTATACATTTATTGCTGTGTTTTATATGAGAAAAATGTTATCAAATTTTGTTAATCATTACGACAGCGACGGAAGTGATTGTAGTGACACAACCACACCATCCGAAGACACATCACTGCCGGACCAATCGCTACGTCAGGAGCTGATCAGTTGTCGAGTCATTGAATCGGACCACTCGTACGACACGCAGAGAGTACTCAATGGCCAGACAGTGGTCTCACATGGAATGGGAGACGTTTTTTAAGTTAATTATGGATTACAAGTATGTGGACGACGCCGAGAGTCAGGTCCGCGCGGCGCTGATCGCTGCCAACAGCGATGGCGATGTAAATAAGATGAAGTGGATTGATATCGAGACCGGTATAAAGAACTATATAAAGGTTCGTAAGGATTATCGTGAAGCGGCGGCCGCCCGCCCGCCCCTCCCGGAGCCGTACAAACAGTCACGTGAATATCTGCAGCAGGCGTTCAACGCATCTGCTTTCGACTTAACCTCTGTTGATAGTGAATAACTAGACTAAAGACTCGCCACAATCCGGTGCTAATCATCTCCCGGTCCTCACAAATGCCGTATTTCTCACTCTTTATGTATTATTCAATCAATCGTTTTGTTAATATATTTATTACTTTTATTGGAAACTATTTTCTATTCAAAAAATGATTCAATTTTACGTATTTGTAAATTAAATTAAATTGTCATTTGTTTTATTAAATTTTTCAAAAACTATTTGTTTTTATAGTGAAATATTAGTTGATTTGACATCAATTTCCATTTGTTTTTTATGTGAATTAAATATCAACACAATTAATGAATTGTTTTATAAATACTGTAGAAAAATGACATTTAAATCTAAACAAATTTATTAAATATTTAATTCAATTCAAAATCTCAAAGTTTTACATTGTTTTGCGCATTGAATTAATTTTCAAAAATAATTTTCAAAAAATACAGTTAAAGAATCGGTTATTACTGTTAGAAACAAATAGAAATCAAAGACAAAAAGTGTTGATTCGATGGCAAAGGCGTCCAAAACCAGATCCGGAAGCAGAGGTCCGCCGCGAAAGTACTTCGGTCTCTACGCCAAGACATTGCTGGCCATTGGAGTGACGGTTGTGATCGTCGGCGGACTCGTCTACTACTTTGATGTCAGGCCCCGAAGCCATCCACCGGAAGCAGAGGTCCGCCGCGAAAGTACTTCGGTCTCTACGCCAAGACATTGCTGGCCATTGGAGTGACGGTTGTGATCGTCGGCGGACTCGTCTACTACTTTGATGTCAGGCCCCGAAGACATCCGCCAATGTCTGTTATCGTCGTCCCGAAGAATCTCAGACCTGTATAGACACACATCTCATCCAATCTTCGCTTCAAAATTTGTTTATCAAATCTCAATCATATCTCAAATACTTTACAAATAAAATGATTTATTAAAAAATGTATTGCAATTTCGTTGACATATTTTAAGACTAATTTTGTAATTATTATCTAATTATTGATGTTATGGTAAACACATTCAATGATCATCTCTTGAGTTCCTGACAATTGATACCCATTTGTTTCAATCCAATCACAATCACAGACGACCTCATCTGTTGTCCACTGAAATACTATTTGCAAATCAACAGAGCATTGACTTAAAGGTGAATACAAGACCTCAAATGGTCACTAAAATACCAATATCATTATCAATACTTTTTGTTAGGGTTTATGTACCATCTCTAACCGCCAGTCGGGTTAGTATCTAAACCACCACTTAATTAACGGTTAATAATTCGAGCTCTACTTAGTGCGCTAGCCTTAAAACAATGTAAATTTGAATTACAATTTGTGAATACATTCTATGTTTTGAGCGTTAAATTTGTTATCAGTTTTCATTCATATGTAAACTTCAGTTCAGTTTTACATTGCATTACATTTTGTGTCCACTTTTTAAGACAATTTCTCTTCATATTTAACCACCGATTGTCTAAACAAACCGATCGTTTAATCCAATAGTTTGGCTGTAATTGTGGCCTAAATTATGGCGTTTTGGAGACAATTCTTTGCGCTCCAGAAGAAGGATTGGATAATACGGTCGCGCAATCCAATCGCCACTGTCTTCGAGCTGTTCCCGGCGGTAGTGTTGGCCCTTATGTTCGCCTATTTTCTCAGAGACACCAAATTCACGGACCTCTACATCGACCCCAACGAAAAACTCGAGCCCTTCGTCCCGATATTTCCACCGCCGACGACGATTGACGTGAGCCGAGGGACGGCCCATAAGGAGGTCTACTACACGCCGGACAACGTCTACACCAGGGATCTGATGCAGACATTGGTTAATATCACCGGTTGGAACCTAAAGGCGATGAAGAGTGGCGAAGAGGTGCGCGAAGTGGTCAGTCGTGCCGATAATAACACGTTGACACCGGCGACGCCTCCGGGAGGGATACAAAACCCGGTGAACAGGCTGTGCTTTCACCCGGAGTATAAGCTCCTGTGCATGCCTTGCCAAACCAGCGTAGAGTTCATATGCGACTAGCGGTTTTCGGTACTCTGGTAGCGGAGGAAGTGGTTAGTCTCAGACGACTCGTCGCTGACCCGCGAGTATCCGTCCTATTATCTGAGGAATAACTTGGCGGACATTATTGCGCTCATAAACCAGGCGTTTCTGACCAAAGCGGCCACAGATAACGGCGTGATTCCACCGACGATAAAGTTGTTGGACCTCAAAGTGTTTCCATTGCCGAAGAAGCTGTACGGAAAAGGAGGAGCGGATTTTGACGCCCCGTACCCGAGCGGCCGAATGACTCAACGCATATCCAGAGGTGATATCATTTCGGTGGCCATTGTCTTGGGTTATATCGTGTTGTATCCGCTGATCGTCCGCCGAGTGATGACCGAAAAGGCCAATAAAGTGAAGGAATTGATGAAAATGATGGGAATGGGTGATTGGGTCTTCTGGGCGTCACATTTCTTCAATTATCTGCTGGTGATGTCAGTCCACGCCTTGATATTCTCATTCCTCTGGTGTTACGGCACGACAACAATTGGTTTCGGCTCAGGAGTGCCGCTACTTAACCGACAAAATGTGGTCCTATTTTTCCTAATTTTATGGATCTTTTGCATCCAAACCATACTCTACTGCATGGCATTCACCACAGTCTTCAACAACTCAGTGCTGGCGGTGATAGTGATGGTCATCGCGTATATACTGGTCTATGGCATCGGTCTCATCAAATATCACCCGATGTTTACCACTCATGAGTACGACTATAACGCTATGCGACTTCTCCTAACAATGTACCCATCGTTTGCCATCACTTGGACTATGTCTTTGTTGAGCCGCTGGGAGTGGTATGGCGTCACCGTTGGTCTCAAAGAGCTCTTCGCGAAGACACCATTCATTGAACTCAGTTTAGCCGAAGTCCTAAGCGTTCAGATCTTTTCGTGCTTTTTCTGGGCGGCAATGATCTGGTATTTGGACGCCGTTTGGGTTCACGACGACGGCCTCCCGAAGCCCTTCTACTTCCCGATTCAGCCCTCCTATTGGTTCCCACAGAGGGTTAGCGCAGACAAAGACATCGAAGCGACGGCCGAAAGGTCTGCGAATCCAAACTTCGAGACACAACCAAAAGACAGCAAAACAATGATTTCGTTGCGAAATGTGAGCAAAGATTTCGGCGCCGGAAGAGGTGTTAAACACATGTCTTTGGATATATTGAGTCAACAAATCACTTGTCTGTTGGGACACAACGGCGCCGGAAAGACCACAACAATGAATATGATTACCGGTATATATCCTCCCTCTTCGGGCAAAATACTGGTCAACGGTTACGACGTGTCGACCGCCACTCGTGAGGCCCG